GCAATAATATTCTTTACCCTTACTAGAGATGTTATACAAAATATTGACTAATTTACGGTTTGAATAGTTTTAAAGACGGGTTAGGTAAGGAAGATACTAGCTTTCACTCTTGAGTTCCCTCTTCTCCCTCCACCTGAGGGCTAACATCTCGTATCCAAACTTAAAAGTCAAATCAAATTGAGGGTTTTAGCTTGTCATTCTAAAGTCCTCTAATTTTAACCCTTCAAATTTTATTTCCCTATCTATTTTCACTCAAACATATGAACTATATTCTCAAATATGAAATCAAATGTGATTCTTACCATTTATTGACAGAGAAAATACCATCACGGATCTTATATGTTCTCATAATAGATATTAACATCTTAATTGGTCAAATCAAGAAGTAAATGAAATATAAGGTTTAAAATCATCATAACTTCTTCCAACTTTAAAGACTTATACTTCACACAACTTCCATCCAATACTTAATCACTAATCATTTTAAAGAAGAAGATAAAGAAAACTACTCATAATTCATGGAGAAAACACAACCACACTTGAGTTTAAAAGTATAAATCATGCGCACAAACAAGAAGTTTAACTTAAAACCAAATGTAGTCACAAAGAAAAAAATTTATCTTAAATCCTCTCCACCAAAATATTAAAGTTCCTTCAAATCTTTTCCTTCACTTACAACACAAATTACAAATTAAAATAAAAAGAAAAGTAGGCGGCGACGGCGTGTGTTGGTTCGCTCTGGATGGATCTGAATGGCTCTAGATCGCCCCTTATTCTTCAATCCAAGTCTTCTTTTATAATTTTACAAAAGGTGTCTTGGTGTCTCCTCAAAATGTGTCCCAATTCAATGAATCTTTTAGAAGTTGCCTCCTTTCAAAAGCTAATTAAATGAATTTTCATGTTCATTAACTATTTTTCACATTTTCACCAATTGTTGCTTCAAACGCCTTTTCAAAAATTCATCTAAATTCAATGAATCATCAAGTAACTACTTCTGGCGCTTAAGCGCGGGGTACATGATGCTTAGGCGTGACTCTCTCTGTTTAACTAGCGCGTATACGCTAGTCCTGTGCGCTTAGCCGCCTCAGTTCATTTTCACACCTTTTTCATTTTTGCTCTAAATTTGATCCTTTTTCACTCCTTTCACCATTTTTCATCCATTTGATTATACCTGAAAGAAATACACACAAATACCTACACACAAATACCTTTCATTACTTTCATTAAAGCAAAATATCTCAAAAATAGGTATAAAAATATGTACATAAAGACTATATATTTTTGGCGTATCAGTAAACTAGGCACATTCCTAGGGTAAACTCTTTCAAGTGGCCATTGGAACTTGTTTATAGCCATTTTTTCAATAAATGCATAAGCTTTCTAAAAGGGTTTTGACATTAAAGACTCCCCTGCTATAGCATCTATAATAGCTCTTAATGATTTCATCAACACATTATAAAGTTTGTACAATCAACCAATATGGTAGGATGTGGTGTGGGCATTTTCAAATTAATTTCAGAAGTTTGTCATAAGCTTTATACATTCACTCACTATAAATCTGGGTGAAAGAAGTAATTTCATTTCTAAGCTGGGCTATTTTTGATAGAGAAAAATATTTAGTTATGATTTTCTATATAGGATTGTTCTAAGTTACAATACAAAATGTTGATAAGGAATTTAACTGCACCTTACCCTTATCTCTAAGAAAAAAAAGGGAGATATATATATCTCACAATGTCATTAAGGACATCGCTATACCTAAAAGTCACACATAGCTCTAAGAAAATGACCATATGTATGTTTTGGGTCTTCTATAGGTGATCCACCAAACTGATTCTCTTTTGAATCATTTGAATGACTGCAGATTTTAATGCAAAGGTATTGGCCTAAATGGTAGTGTAATGAATGCTCTTATATTTTTCATTTATAATAGGGTTGGAAACATTGCTAAGAGGTCCAACTTGAATTTTTTCTTCCTATAGATTTTTCATTTCCCCTAAAGTTTTTTTTTATGATTTTCCTATTATTTTATCAAATTTTTTATTTTATGTTTTTTTCAAATGAAAGTTCACAAGATAGAGCCCTACATAAATAACCTAAAATAAGCTAGTGACCTTAAACTAGCAATCCGAAAAAGGTCGTCAGATTTACAAGAAGTAATAAATCATAGCAATAAGCATAATGAAAACATAATTACTCACATCAAACAAATTAAATACTCTTTATAATTTTTTTAGTATTTTTATTTTGTTCAACAACAACATACAACAATTCAAAATAGTTTAAAACACATTAAAAATTTGATGAAACTAAATAAAATATAAACAATAAGTAACTTTATGATTATTGAACCTAAGCTTAAAATTTTCAACTAGTATTATCCTAACTTCAAAAATTAACATCATTTGCTTGCAACTAAGCCAAAAGATTGATTCACAATGTGGTGACGAATGTACTAATCATGCAAGTATATATGTCAATCAAGTAATATTGATTATAAGTTTGAGTTAGTTATCCCTTGATGAACTTTTTATTTTTTAAAGCAGTGTAATTACTAATCTTCTAATTCTAATTTTAGTTCAGAAGATCTTGATTTTTAGGTTTTTTAAAGTTTCTAAATCTAATATTAAAGTAAAAGACTAAAGTAAAGCGAATGAGTTTTTCCATTGGTTTAAAAACCTCCATTAAATTGGTTTATGTAAAACCTATGTAATTGCAAGTGATTCTTTTACTATATTTTATAATCAAGGCTTAATACTTCTTATTTTCTTCTAAGATATAAAAAACATTGGAGTTGTTATTATGGTTAAGTTTTCTTAGCTCTATAAAAACTCTTAGGCATCAACATTCCTGACTATAATTATAAATATTTAATGTTAACATTATTATTCCACGAAACACTTGCATTTTAACTTAGATGTGCCTTTTGTCTTCTTCCAATAATTTTAGATTATAAAATTTCTAATAGTTTGGCGGTCTTTGAATATAAATTAAGCATGGAAAGTTAAAACATCAACTTAAACATTCAAAATTGCAAGGATCTAACATTGATTGCCCAAGCTTTTATGGAAAATAAATCCAAATAACTAATAAATTTAATAGCTAAACATGAATAAAAATGAAAATAGGAATTGGATTAGATTTTCAAACAATGTATCGCTAAGTAGAAAAGAAAGAATAAAAAATAGAATGACAAAATCTTGTTCCCAAGTGTAGATCTCCTTTGATCTCCTCATTTGCTTAATACAATGACACACTCACTTACTCAAACCAAAGCAAGAGAAAATCTTCACTCTAAAACACCCTCCAACCTCTAAACCTTCTGAAAATTTCAGACTTTCCTCCTATGTTCATATTGCAAGCACTTTGAAAATATATTCAACAACTGTCATAGAACTACAAAATTATTCAATGTTGATGTGGAGTGCCTCAGCACTATTGATACAGCACGGGGGTGCTCTTAATGTATACAATTGTGTCTGGTCCAAGCGTTGCCTTTTGTGAAGCTTGACATTCGTATTTGGGCATGGGGCACTGTCATTAAAAACTCTAAGGCCCTGCTTTATGGGCATTGTAGTACCAAGTTATGATGCCAAAGTGTCATGCTATTGAGTTTTTGGATGAAAAATGAGCTCTAGTTTTTAGTATTAAAGTGTCGTGATCACAAATTTTTGGCTGAAAATGTCTTCTTTAGGAGCTGAGGCAACCCGTGTATTACATAACACTTTATTTGTGGGTTCGCAACGCTTCATTCGAACACAAGATTGTCAGCCATCAAAATGCTAAATATCCTTCTCATGCTAAATTTGTTAATATGTACCGCACCTATATGCAAAATATACCAAAAGAAGCATAACATTAACACAAATAATGGAGAAAATCACCCTATAACAAATCACATTTCACACGTATTAGACATGCAACAATATGAGTGATACTAAAATTTATCATCCTCATGGTCAATAATTTGCATCAACCATGCTATCAAAAGTGTGAATGAACTTTATTTAGATAACATGCGTTGCCTTTTTATGATGGTAATCTAATATTTGGGCTCACCTAATAATAGTAGATTATGGGGATTTAGTTATGATGGTCGATCGAGCAAGAATGGTATTAGAGTGACGGTGGTTTAGAGATGCTAGTTTATCTTCCACATTGAACAGTGACAATCAAGCAATGGTGATCAAGCAATTGTGGCTTGGAAACAATAGTTTCTAATAGCGAACTTCAACATCGACTATTAGACATAGCTGTAGAATTTTTTAAATTTTTAGCTCTCTTCAACTCAAGTTTAACCTTTCTTACATGAATTTTTAGGTGTATTCATAAGTGTTGGGAGAAGCGTTTTAATAATTTTAGTGAAGTTTCTCAAATACTCTATTGGATAGCCTACATTAATCACCTTAGTTATAGATGAAGTTTTAGGAAGTTATAGTAATTTTACATAAAAGTTCTAAAATACTTTATTGGATGGCTTATATTGATTCAATTATTTATATAAATATTTTAGAAATTTATGTGCTTTAATGATATTGGAATTATGAGATCGTAGCTTCTTAGATTTCTCTCATCATAAACCCCGTTTTGACTATAAGTACATAGTGTTCAAAGATTGTTTAATTTCATAAATGGTATTGTGAAGTGTCCATCTATACTTTGAGTGCTTGATTTATAATTATTTGGACTTGGACAAAAGAAATTTGTGAGTCATTACATTTTTCTAATCAATATGCTGATTTCAACTAGAAGTTTTATTGAAAATAAAGTTGGTGCCATCTCAAAGTTTATCCTAAGAAATAATTTGTGTGTACCTCAATTGGATCAATTTTCTATTAAAATATTAAGATATGTACTTTAATCGAAAAAAGTTCTGAGCTTTTCATTTTTTTTACATTGGGAGCTTGATCTTTTTGGGGGAATTCATAAATGAGTAAACACAGAAGAATTATATAGTCATTTAAATTTTCTTATTGCTGCTAATCTTAAGGGCTGAAAATTTTTCCTCAAACATCTCTTGCCAGGACGAAGCAATACCATGTGGACGGAGGCGGCCATTTCCAACGGTCGTCACCGTCAGGTCCCACCGCAGCCCTTACCCTCAGTTGTTTACCTTCACATGAGCTTCATTGCCTCGAAAGCTTTACCCAATTTCTACCTTAAGCTAAAGCCCAAAGTCCCCAACGCCCTTTAAGGCCGTGAAGGGTTCCACTCCAGTTGCTCTTTCTCTCTCTCGCTGTCTGCTCTCTCTCTGCTGTGTTATCTCCCCTCGCAGAGATAGGTGAGCCACAAAAGCTCTCTTTTTTTGCCCCATGAGGATTTGTTCCACAGCAGCTTCCATTTGGCTCCTCTTCTACCTCTTCCAGTCCTCTTGCAAAGTTTTCTCCTTAAATGAGGAAGGATCTGCCCTTCTGTTCTTCAAGCAATCCATCATTGAGGATCCAGAAAGCTGTTTTACTAACTGGAACTCCTCTGATGAAGACCCTTGCTCTTGGAATGGGATCACATGCAGAGAAGGTAAAGTGATTTCTATTAGCTTTCCTAAGACTGGACTGGCAGGTACCCTCTCCTCTTCTATTGGTTCCCTCTATTACCTCAGGCACATTAATCTTAGGAACAATAGGCTGTCTGGGAGCTTGCATTCAGAGCTTTTTAAAGCTCAGAAACTCCAAAGTTTGGTTCTTTATGGAAATTTATTATCTGGTTCTCTTCCTGTCTCTTTCCTTCAAATCTTAGACCTTTCCCAAAATCTTCTGAATGGCTCCATACCAGCTACGCTTCTCCATTGTCAAAGGCTGAAAGCTCTTGATTTAAGTCATAATGACTTCACAGGTACATTGCCTGAAGGATTTGGGATGAGCTTTGCTGCTTTGGAAGAACTTCATCTTTCGTTCAATAGATTAAGTGGTTCAATTCCTAGTGATATTGGTAATCTTTTGGATCTACAAGGCACCCTAGACTTATCGCACAATCTCTTCTCCGGATTGATTCCAGAAAGCCTTGGAAATCTATCTGAGAGGGTCTACATTGATCTGGCATACAATAATTTGAGTGGCCCAGTACCAAAAAATGGAGCTCTGGTAAATAGAGGTCCTAATGCTTTTATTGGAAATCCCGGATTGTGTGGCCCTCCATTGAAGATCCCATGCCTTCCATTTTCTCCACCTCCATCTTTTTCAATAAACTCAAGTGTGAACAATGTCAGCTATAGTAGAAGACTTAAGGGAAGTGTAATAAGTGCAATTGTTTTCGGTGATCTTGCAGCTGTTGGTCTTATAGCAATGGTGCTATATTTATGTTACCGACGAGCAATTTCTTCTAAGAGAAAAGAGGAAGGAAGGACCTGTGGTAAAGGATCAAAGGCCTCAAAGGACTGTTTGTGTTTCTGGCAAAAAGAGCTTGAAACTTTATCAGAAAATGCGGAGCAGTTGGACCTCATTCCATTGGATAAGCAAGTGTATTTTGATTTGAATGAGCTCCTGAAAGCATCTGCATTTGTTTTGGGGAAGAGCAATCTCGGTATTGTTTATAAAGTTGTGCTTGAAGATGGGCTTACCTTGGCTGTTAGAAGACTAGGAGAAGGAGGATCTCAGAGGTTTAAAGAGTTTCAAAGAGAGGTGGAAGCAATAGGGAGGATCAGGCATCCAAATATTGTAACATTGAGAGCTTATTACTGGTCTTTTGAAGAAAAGCTTCTTATTTATGATTATATACCTGATGGGAATCTAACTACTGCTATTCATGGTAAGCTTTGACCAGCCTGGCTCAATTTATTCTGTTTACTTGAGCCTTAAGATGCGTATTTATCATTATATCTGTCTAATTATTCATGTGGTTAGTTTATGAAAGTTTCTAATTAAGCCTTGAAGTTTATCAACCTCTTTTAATGTAATAACCTCATCTCCTTCATCTGAACAATCTACAATTTCTAGAGATCAACTTTTTAATCTTAATCACATTTTATTTTGAATTTACTTTTTATTTCATCTTTGCATTGTATATTGCTTTTACCACCTGCTTGCCTTAAACTTCTATAGGAAGTTTGAGGCAAGTAGATGGTAGAGGCAACCTAAAATTGATATAAAAGCTTCAACTTTGCTTAAAAGGTTCTGTTATTCTCTGAAGGAACAAAGATGGGTCCAATTGACTGTAAGTGGACTCATGATTGTTAATATAAATGGAGATGCACATTTTTATCATCAAGTCTTTTCTTATTTTCAAAGAAATCACTTCAAAATTTTTGAAAATTTTAAAGTGAATTATTGAATTTGTGAATTCCCATGCGATGCAATTAAGTCTTTAAGAACTTAACATATTATTGAGAATGAAAGCTGATATTTTTGTAGCGCACTTCAAAATTTGGGTGTTTAATAAATAACCACTTTTTTGTAACTTATGTAAATTTGCATGATTTGGATGTTGCACGCATACTTATGCCAGCATATCAAGTCTTACGAAATCACAGTCAACTAATAACTTTTTTATTTTCATCTTTTGTCATTTCTTATTGATTTTTGTTTCTCTACTTCAGGTGAAGAAGGAGATGTTGATTTTTCTCCACTACCATGGGATACTAGAGTCAAAATCATGAATGGAATAGCTGAAGGCTTGGCTTACCTCCATGACTTCAGTCCAAAGAAGTATGTTCATGGAGATATCAAACCAAACAATATACTTCTTGGCCAGCACAAGGAACCATACATATCTGATTTCGGAGTCGGCCGCCTTGCAAACATAGCTAGCGGATCACCAGCAACGCACCTGAGCAAGATAATTGCAGAAAAGTCACAGAACTCTGATTCTTCAGTAAGCCCAATCATAAGCATCACACCATCTTACCAAGCTCCTGAATCACAGAAAGGCTTGAAACCATCTCAGAAATGGGATGTTTTCTCTTATGGTGTAATTTTGCTTGAGCTAATTTCTGGAAGATCTCCAGCTGTTCTATTGGAAACACTTCAGATGGATTTAGTGAAATGGGTTCAGTTCTGCATCGAAGAGAGAAAGCCTCTTTTGGATGTGTTGGATCCCTTTTTGGCTCAGGAACCAGAGAAGGAAGATGAGATTATTTCGGTGCTTAAGATAGCTTTGGCTTGTGTTCAGTACAGTTCTGAAAAGAGGCCTTCTATGAGAAATGTTACTGAGTCACTGCAAAGGTTAAGCATTCTGACATGAACTCTTGATTGGATGAAGTCCATTTTCCTGTATTAGTAGAATTTCTGTAACTATATTTATATAGACCATATTCTTAATCATGTCTATTTCTATTATTATGTTTCAGTCTTGTAATCCGCTTATGAACTGTTCTGCTTGAGGTTTATTCATGAGTGATATTATTTAGTAGGTTTATAGATGTTTTTTTGTGAACTATTTTGTATGATGGTGTTCTAAACATATCCCGAATGTTTGGAGTTTGAATTTTCAAATAATTACGTTAGAGTAAGACATGATAAGACATCATAATAACCCTAACTATTTGATATTCATAATAAATAAATAGAGCGATGCTTAATGATAAATGGCATTCGAAGCTTCTGTAAGGGTATATATATATATATAGTTTTTTTGAAAGGAGAGCAATATTTGTGCCTAAATATCGATTTCCCATGCGCTTTTTGGCCCCATGATGAAAACCCTAGACATGTGCCTAAAATTCCAGAGTCTCCGCGTCACGGTAGGATCGAACCCTTGACCTGAGGGGACTTACAGTGACCCCACCACCAACATGCTAAGGCTTGCGTTATAATGTGATATATTACTTATATAAATTTATACTTAATTTATATATTACTTAATTTATATATTTACCTAATGCAGATAGGTGTTAATCTGCCGCCTATAACGCAGGTAGGTGTTATTCCGCCGCCAAGCACGCCTCTCTTTGTTATTCCGTTGATGTATAACACATGGGGAAATGTGTTACCATGGTGTAACACATGGGGAATAATCCCCATGTGTTATACCACCGTAATATAACACATAGACGTGTTATTCCGCCGTCACGGTATATAATGTCGTCACGGGTATATAATAACGCGTTATTTATAAAAAATCTTGTGTTATACTTTAATTAAACCGCATTATTTTCCTAATAATTCCTATAATAATTCATATACCGTGATATAATGCTTAATTTATATATTTACCTAATTTTGCGGTTAAATCGCCACCTATAACGCATGTAGGTGTTATTCAGCCTCCTATAACACAGGTAGGTGTTATTCCGCTGAGGTATAACACATGGGGAATATTCCCCATGTGTTACCGCGGTGTAACACATGGGGAATATTCCCCATTATTCAGTTGTCACAGTATATAATAACGTGTTATTTAGCTAAAATCTTGTGTTATACTTTAATTAAATCACATTGTTTTCTAAATAATCGTGTTATTCTGCAATATATACGCGTTATATTGAGAATACATGTGTTATTTAAATAATTGTGTTATTCTGCAATATATACGTGTTATATTGAGAATACATGTGTTATTACAATTATTGACACGTTATTTAGCAGACGCGTTATTCAGCAAAATTTAAGTGGTATACCGCAATATTGTTGCATTATTGTTCAAAATTTAAGTGTTATAACTAGTTTAAGTTGTTATAACGAGTTCAAAATTCAATTTTATCATGTTATATGACTTTATAACCTGAAAATTTTAAAATTTAAGTGTTATATCTAAAATAGTTACTTATTAAAATATTCAAATATAAATAAAGTTCAAAATATAAAATGATCGTGTTATACTGCGATATGTATTCGTTATATTGAGAATACATGTGTTATAATTAATTATTGTCGCGTTATTTAGCAAAATTTAAGTGTTATACCGCAATATTGTTGTGTTATTGTTCAAAATTCAAGTGTTATAACAAGTTCAAAATTCAATTTTATCATGTTATATGACTTTATAACTTGAAAATTTTAAAATTTAAGTGTTATATCGTAAAATAGAAATACAAGTGTTATACCGTAAAATTTATGTGTTATAATGAAATATTGTTGATGAAAATTTCAAAATCTTGTGTTATACCGAATTATATGACTTTATAACCTGTAATTTTAAAAATATAAGTGTTATACCGTAAAATTCAAGTGTCATAGTAAAATATTGTTGCTCAAAATTTCAAAATTCAAGTGTCATAACGAATTATATGACTTTATAACCTAAAGCACATATTTAACTGTAAGCAAATGGTGTAAGCAAATTCACATATTTAACTATAAGCAACTTCAAGTGTAATAAAACCATAGGCACATATTTAAGCGTTTAGATTCTTGGACCACATGCAAATGGCGTAAGCAAATTCAGTTTATTGTTGTGGTATTCTCGTGTTACTGTTGTGTTAATGTTGTGTTATCGTGTGTTATGAATGTGTTATCATTGCGTTATGATTGTGTTATGTTTGTGTTACACCAATAATACAACTATAACATAACAATAACACACTAAAACATATTATAACACATATATAATACATCTATAACAAAATTCTAATAACATAACACAACAATAATACAAAATAACACATCTATAACACAATTATATCAACATAACACAACAATAACACAGAACAACACATTTATAACACACAATAACACATCTATAACACATAATAACACACAATAGCACAACAATAACACGATTATAACACACAATAACACATTATAACACATTTATAACACATCTCTAAAAATCATAACAAAACAATAACACAAAATAACACCTTTATAACACACAATATCACATAATAATACGACTACAACACCACTATAATACTACAATAACATGACTAAACTTCAACTTTTATTTAAAAATAAACAATGTAGTTACCTCAACGATTTCGGGAAGTTGTTAGGTTCTTCTTCGGCTCTCTTGCAACCTTCCATTTTGTGTGCTACAATGATAAAGAAAATAAATCACTAGTTGTTGCAATAAAACGACTAAACACTAATATTTGGAATGAGTATTGCGTAACCTACCTTCTGTATTTCCCAGAGTCGAAACCGAATGGAGTACTACCACTAGCCGTTCGAATGGAGAACCAGTGCAGCCAAAGACAAACCATCGCCCGAAGTGCCGAATAAAGCCGGAAAAGCCGAAGGATGAAGAGGCCCGAAGTCGAAGGAGGAAGAAGCCGAATGTCGAAGGAGGAAGAAGCTGAATGCTGAAGGAGGAAGAAGCCGAATGCGAACCGACGAAAGGATCCAAAAATGCCAAATCTAACATAAAGTAAGTTTTTTGTCTGTTTCGGGATTTAATTCGGGTCGGGTTCACGATAAACGTACCTATTAAATTTTCCGCGTTGATTTGGGTCGGGTCAAACTTCTTTTTTAATTTTTATAGGTTGCAGGTCCCAATTCCACTTGTACTCTACTCATTGGACTCCTGTCGGCGCTATTTTTTTGGTTGGAGGAGTTGCCCGTAAGAAGCTGTCGGTCACCGGAATCGAAATCTCGTCCCCCGCTTCAGAAGGACGTTTTAATTTACATATATATTTAGTTTTAGAAAAATATGAAATCAAACTGACCTCATATTTTTCATAG